GTGACCCCAAACAGCTTCTAGAAATCATGTAACTTGACTTTCCTCGCCAGCGATTGGCCCAAACAACCGCTAGTATAGCTCGCACTTTTGTGTTTGCTAACCTTTTCGCCGTTTGTTATGTATTTGAGATACATATATCTTATTCGCCTTTCGTCCTCTTTTGCTTTTCCGCCGAGTATTTGTGTTTACGCTTTCCTTGCGATCAGTCGACTTCGTTTGCAACTGTTGTTTGGCGCGTTTACACGTACTCCGTTCTTGGCTGTCGTCCTTGGTGCGTTTCCTTTTGAGGGTGTGCACTTCAGTTGACTTGTTACCAGCCAGATCGATGCTCAGACCATTTTTGGCTCTGTAGGCGGAAATCATTTCATGACATTGTGGTACCTCGTCTGCTCGGTATATTAAGTCCGACTCTGGGCCGTATCCTTGTAACCGCAGGCGATATTTGTAGTTGTGTTGGCTTTTTCGGCCCGGACCTGTTTTGTGGCCAACCACTTTGTCAACGACGTATCTCTCAATTCTTGGTTGATTAACGTCGGTTTCTTTCAGCGACGGCAACGGAATTTGTTTCCCTAAGAAAAATTTAGCCAGTTTTTCGAACTGTGGTGCTGGAGGTTTCTGCCGTGCATGATACTGCTTCAAATGGGCGAGGTGTTCGGATGTTTCCCGCGCATCGTTCCTTCGTTTTACCCGATAAACAACTGGTGATAGTTGAGAGCAAACGATAAATGGTCCTCTCCATGGCAAAAACAGTTTCGGATTTGGTCCGTCAGTGTCCTGGTATGGCTTGTATACTCGCACTTGTTGACCAGGTTTGAACACTGGGTACTGCGGTAACTTTTTGTTTTTCGCAGCCTGTTTCTCAACACGTTCCGTTAGATTTCGGCGCGCTAATTCAAACGCGACCTGTAGATTGTCTCTGGTTTGCTGAGAAAAACTCTCGGTATCGGCTGTTGTGCCGACATGTGGTATCCCGAGAATTACATCCACAGGTAATCGTGCTGGACGACCGAACATCAAGAAAAACGGTGTCTCATGCATGGTTGCACTGAACGATGTGTTATACGCCAGTTGTACCATCGGCAAGAGCTCCGCCCAGTTATTTGGGTCCATAGAACTGTGCATCGCTAGCATTGCATGCATTGTGGAGTGCAATCGTTCCGACACTGAATTGCACCTCGCCCATTTGAAGCAGTATCGTGCACGGCAGAAACCTCCAGCACCACAGTTCGAAAAACTGGCTAAATTTTTCTTAGGGAAACAAATTCCGTTGCCGTCGCTGAAAGAAACCGACGTTAATCAACCAAGAATTGAGAGATACGTCGTTGACAAAGTGGTTGGCCACAAAACAGGTCCGGGCCGAAAAAGCCAACACAACTACAAATATCGCCTGCGGTTACAAGGATACGGCCCAGAGTCGGACTTAGTATACCGAGCAGACGAGGTACCACAATGTCATGAAATGATTTCCGCCTACAGAGCCAAAAATGGTCTGAGCATCGATCTGGCTGGTAACAAGTCAACTGAAGTGCACACCCTCAAAAGGAAACGCACCAAGGACGACAGCCAAGAACGGAGTACGTGTAAACGCGCCAAACAACAGTTGCAAACGAAGTCGACTGATCGCAAGGAAAGCGTAAACACAAATACTCGGCGGAAAAGCAAAAGAGGACGAAAGGCGAATAAGATATATGTATCTCAAATACATAACAAACGGCGAAAAGGTTAGCAAACACAAAAGTGCGAGCTATACTAGCGGTTGTTTGGGCCAATCGCTGGCGAGGAAAGTCAAGTTACATGATTTCTAGAAGCTGTTTGGGGTCACCACCAAATAGTTTTGATGATGAGTCGTGAAAAGAAAACAGTTTGACTATTATATACACCGTACGCCTCCTGAAAACAGGTTATTCGTCCAGCAAGAACATTGCAATAATACCCACGCGGTTTGGTCAAAACGAACCAAACACCGCAACAAGTCCACAACCTTGGCATACAAGGGACTTGAATGTCTTAAAAGACAATCTCTGCTCGTGAACGATAGGAGACACGGGGGCAATCACCAAATGAGGTGAAGTCGAGTTACTCCACAAACAGAGTGACTCCAGAACAACCTATCAAGTATGTTCTCGGGTATGTGCGGGTCCCCTCGTTGTAACATAACACGTGTTTACTCAACACGGCAGCGATGAGGAGGGGGAGACAATCATATTCACGAGCTGTGTCATACCATAAGGAATAACCTAATTCAATTCCACTGGCATTCCCTCATTCACCTTAGAATGAGCGCCGAAAACCATTTTTCAATAAAGATGGATTTTCGGCGAACAAAAAGGGGGGCAATGTGGAAACCTGGATATAGGTATCTTCCTAACGGTACTGACGCACATACAACCAGTGAAGATCGGAGACCCTGCGAACACAGTTCTACAGGTCTGCAGATGTTTACAGAGAAAGAACCTCCGCCTGCTGCTGTGACCAGACGGAGGATGAAAGGGCCCACCAAGGCTCACTCTCACTTTCACCTTTCTAGCACGGCCGAACCACTTCGGCCACGCTTGGCACATCCTCGCCACATCTCAATAAGAGCGAAATACCTCCGTTGGTGAACGGTTATTCACCACTTCAGGGACCTTACTCGTAACAGAGAAAGGGTATTATTCTCATATCATTGTGTATACGACGTGAAACTCTGGCTTGATATCCCTGAAAACCTAACGGTCGAAAAAGTTGCCCCTTCAACCATGGCGCCGCCAGCAGTTGACAGAGGTGCGCCCGCGCTTGACCCTGAGCGGGCGCCCTGCAGGGTAAACTGCACCGACATGCTGCTGCTGCCATCATGAGTCGGTGTGCACTCGTCGTGGTGGTGGTTGGTGTTTTTGTATGTGTGTTCTTGCTGTGCGCGTCTTTATATTTTGTAGACTATGCGCGCCCGTTGGTTTTGTTGTCCGTTGTGTGTCACGCATTTGTGGCGTTTGCCGTTAGTGCGCTGCTTGTCAGGCTTGCCGCGGGCATCTTCCCGTGCCTGGTACCCTCCCGTGCCGGTACCGAAGGGGGCTGGCATGTGTCTGACTTGTTCCTCCGCGATCGGTCCGCAGTCGGCAGTCATGGATACGAAAGATGCCATGGATACGGTGTCGGGAGGTTCTGAGACGTTACGAGACTATTCGATGTTCTGCTGTGGGGTGACGTGGAGGTCGATTTCCGCTCGATTTCCGCCGTCCGTAAGTGGACAATGTGGATACAATTTGGACAAAAGTGGGTCAAAATATAGACATAGCCTAGTCTGAGTGGGTACGTACATGAAAAAATTAGTTGACGCCGGTGGGTATACCCACCGCGATGTCGGACAGAAGTGGGCACTCTGGTGCGCCCCTGCGCGCCTCGGCGGTATTAGCGCCAAAGGTGTGCCTGCAAGTGGGAAAAAATCGATGCCCGTGCTGTGTATGGTCCCTGGCTGTGTCGCGCAGGTGTCAGAATGGGGTTTCGAGTCGTTTGGGGGGCGCCTATGGAGTGTGTGTGTGTGCTTTTATTATTAGCATCCACCGCGCTAACCGGCTGACCAATGAAAAGACGTCAGCCCTAGTTGTTGTTGTTGTTGTTGTTGTCTTCACATTAAAAACCATCCCGGTCTCTCTATCCAGT